CATGCAACATGATAGAACAAAACATATCGAACTTGATAGGAACTACATCAAAGATAATCTCGACTCCAAAAATATAGAAGTTCCATACATCAAGAGGGCGGAACAACTGGCTGATATAATGACACATGGAGTTGCTAGTGGTTCATTCTATACGATGCTATCCAAGTTGGGCATGCGTGATATCTATGCACCAACTTGAGGGAGAGAGTTGAAATATATATATAGATATACCAACTTGTAGTATTTGTAATTGTTAGGGACTAAGTTGTAATTTTTCCCCTTTTCTAACCCTTGTATGTAGTTTAGTAAAATATCAATAGTAATTAATTTTTTCCCCCAAATCTACTAAAGGAGTGTGAGATACAAGTTTGATTGCTTATTTCAGGTTAAAATGGTATAAATTATTTCAAATAAAATATTATATATTATTTTATTAATAAAATACAGCTACAAAACGTATACAACCAGATAAATGAATGAATTTACAGTGGTGGGCCCCCTTTTGAAATTTTTACTTCAAAAAATAATTTATTTTCATTTCATCCATCTCTTCTAGTCTTCATGTACACTTTCTTTCTGCCCGTTTCTGCAGGAGTCTCTTCTTCTTGTGCCAGGTATCTTCTTCTTCTCAGTTCTCTCTTTTTCTTTCCTTTTCTTCCTTCTTCCTCTCCACAAACCAGAAGCTGCCTTCTCTTTTTCCTTCTTTTTTCTCTCTTTTTTCTGCCTTTCACTTCTGTCGGCTGCCCATCCAAGCCTCCGACACGCTACAAGCGACTCCGACACGCGTCGGCTACGTGTCGGAGGCGTATCGATGTCCGATACGTATCGGACACCGATACTTTGTCGCCGGCAACGTGTCGGTGCTTCTGAGCTCATAACTTAAACTTTTAGATTAAGTGGTTTAACATGATAACAAAGCAGGCAAACGTCCCATACATTAAAAATTGTGCACGTGTAACACTTTAATGGAAAAGATGAATACTCCCTCCCTACTAAGTAACGTGTTGAAGATAATATTTAAAGAATAATGCTTTGTGTACAATGTTTAGTTGACAATGTATTTGACAATCAATGTTAATTCAAATTCGAATGGGCGGGAAAGTGTGTGGTGTTTAAAAACTGGCCAATCAACCTTCAACATGTGGCACATTGTCAAACTTGTTGTCAAAAAAATTGTACTTGTAGCATGGTTGATATTTAAATGGTATATATGTTTTCTTATCTAAGAGCTTAAACTTTTAAATCGAGCGGTTCAACTCTAGAACGGACAGTTTGAAAACATCACACTGTAACTTCCAAGTAGCTCAGCAAACTAGAGAAACGGGAGCAAAAATTATCCAGCTTATCCCAATATGGAAGCTTGTAGTCAGATGAAACCACAAGGCATGGTTACTCAACTTTAAGCGAGGTAAGTCCTTAATCGTGTGCCAAATTTGTGAGGTCAACAAATATAATTAAATTATTGAAGAAAAGCATTTGAAGCCAAGACATGAAACAAACCTGGCGTTTATGACGTTGACTTCGATCTCTCAACTTCTCACAAACTAATTTTAAATCACATGTCACGTTGAACAAATCCTCTGCATCTGGGTGAAATTCTTGGAAGATGCTCTTTTCACTAATTCCCAATTTAAGATCTAAACATTGAATGAATTGCCAAAAGGAGATAAAAGAAAAACAAAACATTAATATGAAAAACGCCCACAGTATGCACAAACAAGAGGAATGCAATTTATTCAAAGTCATTGCATTCTAACCTTTAAGAATAATCATAATAATCCACTTCATTTCTTTAGCATTTGTTTTCTTGATCAGATCACGAAGAAGAGAAATCCTCTCAGCTCTGTAGGAAAAAAACATGAGACTATATGATTATAATTTAGAAACCATGAAGGAATTGTAAGGACTACCACAACGCATCTTCGATAACCATGCATCTGGTTGATTCTTTCTTCCTAATAATGAAGAATCCATAGAGTTATTATATGATGATTATAAATTATAGAAAAGAACATATGAGTAAGCGCTTACCTTTCAACTAGCATTAACGTACCACAAAGCAGCAGGAGTCATAAGGCGATTAAAAAGCAAAGACTAGGCAAAAGATCATTGGTACACATTTCCAAATACAAAAGAAGGATTCTACAAGGACTCTACTTATACACAATAAGGATATTTACCTATTTTCAGTTGAAGCCAATCGATCAAGCAATTCATTCAGTTCTTTTATTGTGAGGCCACCTGAAGTCATACCCTGCCTCCGCTCCAGTACCTGCTCGTAGTACAAGATGTAAGAGCATTTGATTCTCGCGATTCAGTTGACAACAGTAATTGTAAAACCTTGCCAAAACTCCACATAGTAACCACAAATTCCGCTGCTGAACTAAAAATACTTGACTATACAAATCAGAATACCACAAGAAAGAAAAGCAGAACGTAGTACCAGTTAGAACGTTGACATGCATCAAGGTTGTACCTTTCCCAGTAAACCGTTCGAAAAAAGGGGAGGGTAAAACAATGTTAACGACGATTACCAAGTAAAATGCTTATCGATGGAATTCATTAGAAAAGAATTCAAATTTAAGCAAAATTAAAAGGCCCAATCCATCATTTTCCTAACTGGGGAAGGAAATAAGGTTGAAAATAACCTCTAACGCTATGCGAGAGAAGTTTCCAGCAAAGGCACCGGAGTTAGGGCCGCCTTTGCGCCAGTTGAGGAGTTTCTGAGAGTCGGAGGAGTCGCGGGACATGTCAAGGGCGTCAATAAGGCAAGTGGCAAGGACGTGCTCCCGAAGGCCATAGGAACCACGCTCGCGATCAAGTACTGGGAGGAATTGTCAAGGGCGTCAATAAGGCAGGTAGCAAGGACGTGCTCCCGTAGGCCATAGGAACCACGCTCGCGATCAAGTCCTGGGAGGATGAGACGGATGGTGGCGAAGTAGTCCTCGCCATTGTTGGGGCGGCAGAAGGTGGAGAGAAACTTCCGGAATTTGGAGCGTTTGACGGAGGAGGTTTTGCTTTTCTGCATCCATTCGAATAGGCTTACCATCACACTGAATTTTGTTTCCGCCATTTTTGTTTGTTGAATTATGGGATTGAAAATTGGAATTCTGTGTATGAATTTTATAGTTGCAGGACGAAGTGTGCTTGGGAAGTTTAAATGACGCGTTCTTAAATCGGGGCAAGAGCAAAGTACTACCAAGTAAAGGCCAAAGTGCAAGCCTTCAGTGCTACAAGAGAAAATTGCAGTGGAAGTCTCCCAACATGTTAATCTCGTACAAATAGGTCTCCATCCTTTGTTTATCAGGCCTAGTTTTATTTTTTCAAAATTATCTTCCTCAAACTCATTTTCAACGACACCTCGTCCTATGTCCTCCTAATAAAATAATTTTACAAATTAAACTCTTCTTTTTCTTTTTCTTTTTTGTTTGAAAGAAAAACACGACTTTTATTTTAGTGCTTGTATGGAAGTGAATTTTTGAAAATCACATTTTTCCACATCAAGTGAGAGCCCAAACAGGGAGGCAGGAAGATCTTATTTGTAAGCTACATCTTCTGAATAGTGACAAAGATTTTTCAAAATTCAATCAAAGCCATCGAGAATCTCATCGCCTCTTATGTGGGCTAACTGATCGAGTTGGGTTGGACATACATATCACGTAACCTTTTTCTAGCCAAGAATCCTAATATTAATCGAATCGAGGTAGATCCAATTTATTGGCAAATGAAAAATTTATTGTTTCAAGTTTTCTCACAAAAAAAAAAATTCTAGAAAAGAGGTGATGCGAGATTTTTCTAACCGCAAGTGTACGGTGTCAAGTTTTAATATAATAAGAGTAGAGTATCGTTTTCCACAGGGATTGAAATCTAATCCTAAGAATTCCTGTAATTAAAATAATCTTAGGCACCGTTTGGTAACCTTTATTTTAGAAAAAATGTATTCTTTGTGTCAAATCACACCTTTTTTGTGGTTGAAAATGAAGAAAAAGGTATTGATGTGATGGAAAATATTATTTTATTGATAAATGTGTGGTTGAAAATTAGTAGAAGAATGAGAATGAAAAAAAAATGGTTACCAAACGGTGCCTTAATTTTATCTAGAAAATATGAATATTGGAATGAGATAACTAACTAACTAATTCAATAAATTAACAATGCAATTAAACAAGATCAACACGAATAGGCTTAAACTCCAGAGATCCAATTTCACCTAACCGTCGATCATGCTTCAATCATCTAACTATTCCTTAATTTATTCTTATGGTTTATTAGTTAAGAACTCGAAATTATCTCAATCCCCTCTCTTGATGGCGAATTAAGAATTACTTTAAAACACTAATTTTGAGTCTCCATCTAAAACTAAGATGATAAAGTAGATTTAGATATTTGGTTCTCTTAATAATTACAAAGGATTCCATAGGCTTCTTGAACTCTATAATCTCCTAGGATGTGTTTATTAATGATCACTATTTAGAATTCTCTCTCTAGATAGTAAATCCCAAATTCCATATCATTCAAATGGTGACCAAGCATTCAAAAGCATTAAGAGTAGATAAACACAAATAAACCAATAGAATAACCTTTGAAATAGATAATTAAATGATCAAAGTATAATATCTAATGTTGGCTATATTGTATCTCTAGAAAAATAAATTACTCCATGAAAATATAAAAGAAAACACAATTCATGTTCTTGAACATTGATAGAATAGAAAAGATTGATAGAAAATAAGAAAAACTCGTTGATTTGTGGATTCCTCAATCTCCGAAGGTCTTCTCTATAGTGTGGCTGCTGGTTTTGCTTCCTCAAAAGTCCTTTAATAAAACTCTAGTAGCCGTATTTATAGTCCCCTCTTTAAGCTCTTTAGATTTAGGGCGTATTTGGCATCAGGTGTCGTCGCGGAGCGCCCATTTTGGGGGCAGGGGCGTCTGTCCTCCCCGTAAGCAATTGAACACGTTTTCAATATTTTCATCATAACTTTTTATTCCAATATCCGATTGAGATGATTCAAAATGTGTTGAAAATCTAACTCAAAAGGCTACAACTTTACTTCAGACATCATCATCCAATTCGATCGTTTACTCTGTCAAAAGTGAGTCTCAATATGAGACTAAAATTCTGGAATATAACTTTTTGGTTGGAAGATGATTTGTGACAATCTTTTGATTAAATTTGATCCCTTTAATGTCTTCCTTTATCCAATTGACTCCGAGCACTCTCAAATCTTCATCATGAGGTTCGACATAACTTTTAAGTATTTGCACTTTAATCTCCGAATTTTGGATCTCTTACAATTTAGGTCTTTCTCCAAATTTGTCAACTTTTACTTATTTTCTTCAATCTCACCAACCTACATCAAAACACATATAAAAGCATTCTAAAACTATCTCAAAGGTAATAAAATAATGTATTAAGTGACATAAATATTATGAGTGTAGAGCGCTCATCAAGAGGAAAAGCCACTATCGAGTTAGGTAAGCAAGAAAGAAGGAAAAGCTAGAAAAGGCGAGGCAAGGGGCTCGAAGATTGCGTCCAAGATCTGATAATCTAAGCCTTGCTGCATTGGAAAAGAATCGCACTCAACACAGCAGAAACAAAAACGAAAAAAAAAAAAAAACACTATTAGATGAGCAAACCTCATAATATATAATATTTTCTTTACTATCAACTTTTTCAAAATAGAACTTAGGCTTTGTTTGATATACCCGCCCCCCCCCCCCCCCCCCCTCCCTCACACAACCCCCTTCTCTTGGTTTTCATTGAATTGGTTTTTCCTCCATTTTGGTCGGAAAATGGTTTTTCACCTTTTTTTTTTAAGTAATGGAAACAAATTATATCCTCAATTGTAACAAATTATATTCCTTTAATAGATAATTTTTATATAAAACAAAGTCAAATGAATACCAACAAATTCAAAATTTTAATATTTTCGTGGAAAATTATACTAATCAAACACAATTAATTAACACTTCCCAGGAAAACAATTCTAGGTAATTCAATCGTCTAATTCATTTTCTTTCCATCCAAATTTCAATTTTGCAATCAAACGGACCCTTAGAACATTCAAAGTGCGCAGTAGTCTCTCAACTTTATTCATTCGAGGACTCACCAAGACAGTCTCTTTTTCGTCTCTGTACAATCCAGCCAATAATACCAAATATTCAGCGCATATATGCATGCCTATGCCATTTTCTCTAAGGCAATGTTTGATTGCAACGAATTCTATGGAAAATATCACAGCTGTGGAAAACAAATTTCACTTTGGCCGATTGATTGCAAGATGAAAATGAAAACTGAATTCCAATGTACAACCACTTTAAACTGCATTTTCTTTATTTTCATGAAAAACGAATTCCTATGGGTTTGGTGAATTTTTATTTTCCAACTATCATGGAATTTGAATTCATTTCTATCTTTGTCTATCAAACGGACACCCCCCCTTGTTTGTACGAATAAACACCCAACTATTTTGCCAAAATTATCAATTACAGTGAATCTGCATCAACGATTGTCTTAGTGTTGGTTCTCACTCCCTCCTATCGCTGCATTCTCGATTCTGTCTCTGTCTAATGCCGTTAACCCGGAGCAGAGCAGCTCTGTTATCATCTATATATGTAGTTGAAGCATTGATGATAAGCTCAGGAGAACATCTTCGTCCATTAAACATATTTGATTCCACTCATTCCAACAGTACCACAAGAAGATAGAAAGAAAAAAAAAAAAAAAACTCCATTTCCCATTTCAACAAAGTTTCCCAGATTGTTAGCAATAAGTCTCAAGCATTAGAATCATCGAAATTCCAAATCAACTCCCTCAAATGAAATCATATAATCAGTGTTCTAAAAGTTCTCAAGCATTAGAATCATCGAAATTCCAAATCAACTCCCTCATATGGAATCATATAATCAGTGTTCTAAAAGGCGCGCCTCCAAATCAACTCCCTCAAATGGAATCATATAAGTTATATAACAACAGACTAGTTCTAATTTTCTCACAATTAATCAGCAGATGGAACACACTTTCGACTTTCTGTTCACGTGTTGCATACTTGCATTAAGTACCATTTAGGCCTAAATCCCTATAAGAATTTTCCAACCGAAAAATTTAGCTCATGTTTGGTACAGATTCTTTAAAATTGACTTCTCAAATTCATTTGCAACCTCATAATTCTCGCAATAAAATAATTTTGAACGTGAACTCATAACTTTTTCCTACTTCTTAATCACAAATTCTAAAAAAAAAAAAAAATGTCATTTTTCACAAAATTTATATCAAACAGGCACTTAATCTTCAGCACGATGCTCACTAGCCACGAGAACTTCCACCTGCCGCTTAAACAGTTCAAGCAGCCCTCAAAAAGTCACCATCAATCAGGCCTTAAATCTTCGACAGTACATTCAATAGCCACAACAACTTCCACCAACCGCTTCAACAATTTGAGCAGCTCTCTGACTCCCAAGGATATACAGTCTATAAAATGGTCATTGATAATGTAATTAGAAAGGTAAGTCGATTGCCCCTTCGGACAATTGTGTCATTATTCTCTATCCACAGATGACAGGACCATGAGAAATACCCTGAAAATAAGAGGTCGAAAATAAGATACATAATTTCACTGGACTACATCCAAGTCCAGTATTACTTGGTACACAAGAAAGCACAGTCGGTATAAACATGTAAAATTCAACATTCTAGAAATTTGAAGAGATAAGGAATAATGAAACAGCTCAAACACAATAAAATTTTGAGCATGATTATCCAAAAACCTAACCAGAATAACAAATATGTGAGCTATGTTATGGGGAAAAAAAAAGCAGCAACCCAAAAATCAGATACAAATAACAGAGTTCCAAAAAGACTTTAGTCAATGGGCAGATGCTTTACAGATTAGGATCTTGCATATATGTTACAACGGTTTTAAGGAAAATGCTGAACAACATCAAGCCTATGAGTTCATAGCCTAAAATTACGATATCCTCCAAGGCGAGATGATCCATAGCCATCATAAGGTTGTTCCCTATACAATGAGGATGAGTAGGACCCACTGCCAAGCTGAGAGTAGGAAGGCCTCAAACTCAATTCCAGATTGCTATAAGTTTCGGGAAGTGTTTCTCCATAACCACTGGTGAATTCCTGCATAACAGAAAAGAGAGTTATCTTTAGCTTTAGTTGAAATTCACATTTCATTCTTGAAAGTAACAATCAGGGTATTAAAAATGATTTGCAATTAATTTAGTACTAAATGAAAGTCAGATTCATGCAAGTGTAGAGTTTATTCATTGAACTTCTTATCTTATTCAAAACAATAAAGGCACGTATTGTAAGCAGTATTGAACATTGTTCTATAGTACAACAGACTATTTTACATTGTGTTTGACACCTGTTTCTAGAATAGGAAATATATATATATATATATTTGATTCTAAGTTATAGGAATTTAACATAATTAGTTTCCTTCCTAATATAGGATTGTAACTTGTATATATACCCAAGAGATTGTTGAATACATGTGAGAAAAAATAATTTTTCCTCCCAACTTACATGGTATCAGAGCATTGCTGAACTTTCCGGGAAAAAAAAAAAAGCGAGAGATCAGAGAACAGCGCAGTACGGCGGCTAGGGTTTCTTGGGAACTCCAACTTCCGGCCACATTTGGATCTCACCGCTGGCACGTGAGGGAGCGCCACCCACCGACCAGCCTTCACCCGGAGCTCCGTCGCCGGAAACCTAGCGCGTGAGCCATACAGGCCACTTGAAGAATCTGCTCCGACCACCACTTGCCCGGAATTTGGTTATTTTTGCACCGTTCTGCTCGCTTCGACGTTCTACTACCTGCTTGGGTCAGCATCTGATTATTTGGCTCGGTGTGTGATCTATTTTGGGACAAGTTCGGATTTGTCCATTATTCTGACTTTGTTGTGGCTTTGTGCTCGTTATTTGGCTGATATTTGATAATATGGAGGAAAAGAAATCCGTGGTTGTGTCTGATGTGATTCCGATGATGTTAAAAATCACAGAACATAAATTTAATCGATCTAATTATTTAAATTGAAGTAAAACTGTTAGGCTCTATTTGCGGAGTATTGCTATGGATAATCACTTCACTGATGAACCACTTAGTGATGATTCGAAAGCCACATGGCTAAGAGAGGATGCCCGTCTGTTTTTGCAAATACGCAATTCTATTGATAGTGAGGTGGTGGATTGATAAATCATTGTGAATTTGTGAAAGAATTGATGGAGTATTTGGAGTTTGTGTACTCTGGCAAGGGAAATATCATACACACTTATGAGGTGTGCCAAGCCGTTTATCATGCAGAAAAATGTAACAGATCCCTCACTGACTACTTTATGGATTTTAAAAAGACTCGTAAGGAACTTAATACACTGCTTCCATTCAGTCCCTATGTGAAAACTCGGCAAGCTCAGAGAGAAGACGACGATTATGAGCTTCTTGGCTCGCCTTCCTTTTGAGTTTAAGACTGCTAAATCTCAAATTCTTTCTAGCCCTAAGATATCCTCTTTGGAAGAAGTCTTTAGTAAGGTACTCCGCATGGAAAATTCAGCTTCCACTCATCCTAATAGTGCTCTTGTCAGCCGCACATCTGAATCTGGGAGACAGCCATATAGAAGTGGCAATAATGGGGAAAACTCAAGTGGTTATGATCGAAATCTTGGTACTCGAGGACAAGATTCGGGAGGTGTTGTCTGTTACTATTGTCATAAACCAGGACATGTGAAGAGAGATTGTAGAAAGTTGCAGGGCAAGCATCCTTCGAACCAGTCAGCCCATGTTGCCTCTACTAATGATGTTTCTGAGCCCATCCTAATATCTGCATATTAGTATACCAAGTTCTCACAGTATCATGAATCTCTAAAAACTTCTTCTACTCATATTACTGCCATTGCTGATTCAGGTAAAATGAACACGTCTTGTTTCCTCATCTTCCAAATGGGTGGGTTATTGATTCTGGTGCCACAAATCACATGACATTTAATTATAGTCTATTTTCATCTTTTCAGTCACATGCCTTTAGTTCTACAATCACTTTAGCAGATAGGTCTACATCTCATGTCCTAATGTCCGGCACAATTATTCCAACCCCACAATTCCTTTGCAATCTATTTTAAGTTTAACTAACTTATCCTTTAATTTGGTCTATGTAAATAAACTTACACGTTCTCTTAACTGTAGTATCTCATTCTATCCTAATTTTTGTATATTTCAGTATCTTATGACGAATAAGATTATTAGTAAAGGACATGAGTCTGAAAGCCTCTACATTCTTAATACACAAACACCAAAGTCTATTGCTTGTTCTGGAGTTGTGACCCCTTTTGAATCACATTGTCGGCTCGATTATCATTCGTTGTCTATGTTAAA